CCAATCATATTAACTATTTGGGGGATTTATTGACAAAAAGAGTATTCAAATCACACAACAAATTGAAGTGAGAAACTACATCGCAATGTCCTTGTTTGGTAATCAGTCGTTAGCTCTTCAATATTAGTATATATTTAATATTTTATGCCCTAATTTTTTTTTGTTCTTCCTTATACCCCGTATTTGGTTTCAACCATACATATACAATTATTTTATTGACAATTATAATCAATCTTGACTATATTATCTTGCATTTGTAAACTTAGAATTACCTATTTAAATACGCAAATTCAACATTCAATTATCTATGCATGAACAATTCTAATTTAATCTTGCCTTGATATACTTTAAAGTACTTATTTAAAAAAAATATTAGGCATTATCCCAATCGCGCAATGCGCGTAAAAAACTAATACTCTAATAAATAGTAAATCATGATTTTTTTTTAAAACCTTGTTGCATCCTTCTCCAAAGTTACTTCTTTATTTTCACATCTTTACGTGTTATCACAATTTGTTTTAGGCTTTAATTGTTGCATATACTTATCTTTCTATATTTTTTCTTATATAATTAACTTAATTATGAGATCAATCAATTCAGTGGTAAGCATATAAGTTATTAAATATAAATTTATAAATTTTTCTTTTTTAAGTTAAACTTTTAATGTAACGGATATTTGTGATCCATGCCAATTAAAAGGAAAAAATAACATTTAAAAAAATTTAAAGTAAACCCAAATTTAAATATTTGTGTATCTATATATAATAAATATAATATATTAATATGATATGAGGAAAAAAAAAAATTAAAGGCATGGACAGACAGTACAATAAGATTAGATGTGACATAGAAGGTGATGACTAATTCACTTTTTGGTAGGGCTTAGCTTATATTGTTTTCTCAGAAACCCTAATTACTATACCCCCTTAATCATAACCTGCAACTTTTTCCCTTCTTAGAGCGAAAAGACATCTTCATTTTAATTAGTGGATTCATAGTGATGAAAATAATATAAGGGTTCAGCACTTTCATAGTGAAATTAATTAAATTAATTAACAATTAAATCTTTTTTTAGAGCAAAAAGTCACACTTTATGAAAGTAGACGTCGTGTTAGGATTAGTAACAGATAAGATGACAAGTCTTGTATTAAATTGTTGTTGAGCTTGACTGGAAACAACGTTGTCGAAATATGAGTGGAGCGAATTGGGTTAAGCTCATTGTACATGTATCAGATGTCTATAAATACATTGGTAGTATTTTTAGGTGTTGTATCACCACAATCACCATCCATTACCATCACTATTTCTAGGTGTTGTATCACCACAATCACCCTCCATTACCATCACTATTAATAAAAGAATAGTTTCACTCCCGTTGACGTAGACACATTGTCGAACCACGTATGCATTATGTCATTATTATTATTTTAGAGATTGTTTGTTTATTTGTCTCATATAGAGATTAGAAATACAAATCTGTCAATAAGAGTGGAACAAATTGGGTCGGACCTATGGTATAGGGATATATGTCTATAAATAGATTGATTGTATTCCTAGGTGTGGAATCACCACAACCACCACTATCACTATTAATAAAAGAATAGTTCCACTACCGTAAACGTAAGCACATTGTCAAACCATGTAAATCTTGCATTTTACTTCCCTATCATTACTATTATTATTTCTTGTTCTTGTTAATCTCAAACAGAATTTTATACCAAACTAGTATTATTATAGCTCAACCTGACTCGTATGTGACTCTAAAATTAATCAACAAAAGTGTAAATCTACAAGCTAATAACGCTACTGCCTGGTTGACCTATGATTTAAAAGTTGAGCAAATGTCAATGTTGTAACCAAAAAAAAAAAAAAAACAAAAACAAAACAAAACAAAAATTGCATGTACGTATAAAATAACTTATTATAATTCACATAACCTTTTATATTTATTAATTATCCGTAAATTAACTTACTCTATTACAAATTAATTACATAAATTAAATTTCTATGTACAAAATAATATATGTTCTATACTCTGAATCATGTGATGACCACTTATTTAGAATGACAACAAATCAAATGTATCATCACAATACGTCAATAATACATAGTAGTTGGCATATTATCTCAAATTTAAATCACATATAATAATAATAATAATAATAATAATAATAATAATAATAATAATAATAATAATAATCTAAGGGGGTTTTTTATTAGCACATAAGACAAAATAATCCTTTAAAAAATTAAAACTTCAAAGGGCAAAGGATGAGTCACGTGCATTTCATAACTAATCAAATCCCCACCACAAAAAAATAAAACCCATTATATTGTAAATTAAAGTGAATGGGGTGTTTAAAAAATAAAACCCATTATATTGTAAATTAAAGTGAATGCGGTGTTTGGTAAGTAGTTGTTACCTGTGAGTTAATGTGTTTGACTAGTTGATTACATTAGCTGATTATAAAAAGATGTTTGGTAAATTGATTGTTAGTTGATAGCTGATTACATGAAAAATGACTTTCTCAAAAAGCTGATCGAAAAAACTACTTTGAGCAATTTTTAGAATTTTAGCGTTTTGGAGCAATAAGCTATTACAAAAAGATAATTAACCAAACAATTATATTCGTTGTTTAACCAAGTCAAACACAACTAGTGGTCAAATAAGCCAAAATCGATCAAATAACAAGGCTAATAAATTATTATTATTATTATTATTTTATATATGACAAGAGAAACATGTAGTCATTATTCGAGATGGTGTTGATATAAAGTGAATAATTTTGTTAAATTAAATAACAAATAGTTAACACTTCACTAATCACTATTATTATTATTACTCAAGTTTTGTGGCCTCCAGATATAATTGTGCTTCTTATCCATTCCCCCTAGCTTCCAACTTGCAACCTATCCCTTTCCCCATACTAATCATTATGCGTTAATGCATAATCTTTACTTAAATATAATTAAGGAAATGAAATTATAAAATTAATTAAATGTGTATTTATAAATATTAAGAATTTACTTAAATATATTTATATACTATACTTATGCACTATATTAATTATACAAAATTAAAATATTAATTTTTTTTAATTTTTAAATATAATTATCTTAATTATAAATCTAACAATATAAATTATAATTAGAGAAATTATATTATAAAATTAGCTTAAATACATATTAATAAATATTATGTGCATATATAATGTACTATACAATAATATAGGAAAATACATCATATTTGAGTTTAAATTTACTCATACAAAATTTAAAATTTATATTTTTTTATTTCTAAATTTGATTATCTTAGTTATTATATATTCATATTATTGAAATTATAATATTTGTGAAATATAATTAGGAATAAACTAATTTAATTATGTAAATTTCTTCTAAATTTATTTAAATATGTATATAATTATAACTATATTAACCATACAAATTTTAATTTTAATTTAAATTTTGTATGCTATGTAAATAAATATTGGACCAAGTAATCTTTATAAACAAGTAATACTCCGTATAATTTTTAAAGTTTTATAGATACACTGTATATTAGAATTGATATGATATTGTCATGTAAAATGCGGAGTCAAAAAACAATTAAGTTGGCAGTTAATTACAACCAACTCACAGTTTTTTTTCTTTTTAAATTTTTTAAATATTTTTATTTTGTATTTTATCCTAATTCCTTTCCATTGGGGTTAAAAGTGACCTAATTTGATTACTTTTTATTGATGCTCAATGATGCATCTTGTATTGATGGTACACATGAATTATCTATATAATATGGTATGATTAGACAACTAAATATGACTCTTGAAATGAAAATGATGGGATTTGAGAGGTGACTATATGTGTGTGTATAGCTAGGATCTCAAAAATTTTGAAAGTTTAAAAGTTTAATTGACTTTTTAAATAAAATTAAAGGTTTATTTGATATTTTTTTTTCAAAAATTTGTAATAATTATAAAATAAATTATCCTCTTATAAATTTTTAATAATTATAAAATTGACCCTCCTTTTTTTTTTTTTTTACTAAAACCCTCCGCCATTAATAAACACGGATGCATGTGGCAGAATTCAATCATCACTTTTTTACAGGAAGGCCATGTTCTCATTTAATCTTATATATATATATATATATATATATATATATATAGGAGTGATCACATGTGGCCATGTTGTTAGGTGTGGTCATATGGTCAATTATAGGCCATTAGATTAGATAGATCCAATGAATCATATTAATTAAGATTTTTTTAGTATTTTCGCGCACATTCTCCTACCCAGCGAACTGCAAGGGTAAACTCGTCATATAACACCGAAATATTAATCAAGATTTTGTTGTGTGTTTTATTACACTATTGGTGCATGTTGTCAACACTGTTGGTGTATTCTGGAACTCGGCTGCTATAAATAGCCATTGTAATTACCATAACACGGGAATACACCATTGGTGTGCTTCACTGTGGTGTGTTTTATTACACTATTGGTGTATGTTGTCAACACTGTTGGTGTATTCTGGAACCCGCCCGCTATAAATGGCCACTGTAATTACCATAACACCCCCACTTACCAAAACGCGCGAAAATCCTCAAAATTATCACTGCCGTTAGATTAAACTGATTCAACGACACAGATACGACCACACGACCACACCTAATGACATGACCACATATGAGCGCTCTTCTATATATATATATATATATATATATATATATATATATAGAGAGAGAGAGAGAGAGAGAGAGAGAGTCCTAATCATATGAACTACTTCTAGGTGAAAACTTGTTGACTAATCCAACCCATTCATCTGTAAGATCTTTGATGGATGGGAAATGGAGTAAAAAATGAGCGGGGTCATTTTTATAAATATTACAAGTATATACAAGCTTTTGTTTTTTTTTTTTTAAGTAGACACAACTTATTTAGTTATTTTATATTTAAAGAATAAACATTGTATCAACTTATGAAACATAACATGGTACACATTAGAGCCACAACATATTCATATGATTCAGCAGCCTTTGTGTGATCTCATTCTGAGATTCAAGATTGCAGAGAGGCAAATGAATTAGTTGTTAGTTCTTCTAACCATAGAAATCCTGTCTGGATCACCACCCCATTCTTCAAACACAACCAAGAAATTCCCACTTGGTTTCAGCCATGATCGCGGGACATGATACCTGGGATTCAATATAATCAGTTTCATCAAACATTATTGCCTAATTTTTCTTCCTGGATAAGATCAGAGCAAGAATGTGTTTAGTGCTTACCATCTCTGAGAAGGTTGCCCACAGTTGAGCTGGCATTTCTTCTGGTTGTAAGTACCAGCATAGTTACACTCAGAACTGCAGCTGCCCTGTGCTGTGTATCCAGGCCAGTGGCGCCCCACTCCTTCGCCATTTACCCATATTTCGCCTTTCCCCATACTGCTCATGTCTAGCGCTAGGGGATCGTTTCCTTCGGGTGCATCAAACGTGGCCTAGAAGAACGATAAAGCTAATGGAACAGTACATAAAAGCACTGGATCGTGTACGTTTTTCTTCGTTCTTGAATTGAAGTTACCTTGTACCAGGTTAAGGGTTGGTTGGAAGCCAGAAGTGGACCGTCTTCCCATTCTACCGAGGAGCTTCCAGTTACAGTGTTAAGACTTAACGATTCGCCTTTCATACCAAGCTGTGAACAAGCAAGAAATCGTGGAGCAATTCTAGAAAGAATGAATGCAGTACTGACTACTGATCTGAGCAAATTAAACCTTATAAAACCATGTCTGGTTTGTCAAGTCTCTCGTGCCCTCGTTGAGCCCGCTCAATGAGACTGGCCCGAGAACTCCAGCGTTCCACTTCTCGAAATGCAGGCCAACATTCTGAAACAGCTTAGATAATAATAACATCACTGATTCTCTAAAACTCGGGGGAACTTTACTAGCAGAAAGTTTAAGACTAACCGGGAGACCAACAGCAACACTAAGCAGAGAAATCTTGTTAATTCCAGCTCTGAGTTTTACACTGTTAGTGTATGTTAACTTTGGAAATGCCAGTCCACCATAAACAGTTCCTATTACAATAAGGGCTGAAAATTAAATTTCGAACACGATGGCAGACAAGAGAATTGTGTTTTTAAAAGCGTTGTAGCCCGAGTACCTGATAATTCACTGTTGATGAAAACGTGCATAGCGTGGCCAGCAGACATGACAGTAACGACAGGGTCCTTCCCGTTCCTCAGGAACTCTTCATCTGGTGCAATGTTCACCCTGGAGCAAGCAATCGAGAAAAGCCGTGATCTAGTATGCATAGCTGAAAATTCCTTTGGAAAAAAGTCTAGAAGACGATCGAATTGAACATACTCTGTCATGTACCACAGATAGTCTGATGAATCTCGAGTGACGTTTATTTGCTCCCACATTCCATCAGCTGCAACTGTGTCCCCGTCATCAGAAGATGCAATCTCTTCGGTGTATGATTGCCACGAGAATCCATTCCCGACTGGTATCATCTTCGTCTGTAAGCTCGGAGACCTAACCTACAGTAGAGTATCAAATGCAATAAATTATTCCAACTTTCGAGTTCAAAAACACTGGAATTATAAACACGAAATAGCTAGTCCTTTTTTTGGCTTACAGTTGCTGTGTTGTAAACAACATTCTTGCAGTCAGGTAAAATACTAATTGACCAAGGGGGCAGATCATATTGCAGATTCGAAAACGTTACTTTTGCAGAAAATTGGGGGTCATAATTGGAAAGAAACGCAACACAAGCCCCGGTTTCTGATCTAAAGACATGAACCTGGCAATCATAATCAGAAAAACTCAAGTGTAATTAAGAAGATAATTGAAGTACTTGATCTATGAAACCAACCTCTTGGTTTTTGCCAAACCAGGTAACGATAGGATACGATGAAACTAAAGCTGGTTCAGCTAGCTTTATTGCTCGATGCAGGTCTCTTAAATGCCCGTATTTTGGTTCGTTCACTAGACCTAGTTCACCGTATTCATTAAACCATCATAACAAGCTAAGAATGGACATATAATATGTTTTTGGTGGCCAAATAAAGTTCATACCATATTCATCTAGTGGAGCATCATAGTCATAGCTAGTAGCAACAAAAAGACCGGCACCTGTCCTTCCAAAATTTGTCCCGCCATGGTACTAGATCCACATAAACGATTACGATTTCCATGGAAGAAATTACCTAAAACTCTTTTAAGAAAACGAAGATTTGACTAACCATGTAATAGTTGAAAAACGAGCCATTATTCTGAACGAACCGAGTAACTGCAAATGCCAAGTCTTCTGCAGGCCTCCGAGGAACTGGTCCACCGAACTGTGTATACCTGGAAAAGGAGAACTCCAATGCCTAAGAGAGAACGAAAGAGAAATAAGTTCCAACCAAACAGTGTTCTCAAGACTTCACCACCCAGTCCAGACTTCTGTAAACATTTTGGGCTTATAAGGTTTGTTTGGATGGAAATTCTCGCAGTAGAATCCATTGCAAGTATCTATCTGCAATTTTAATATGGAAACTATAGTCTTCTTTCCAAAAAAATTTGCAGAAATTATAAAGACAGTAAACTGAGATATATATCCTCACAATAGGATCAGGAGCATCGTCTTGTTTACACATGATCCAGGGAACACCGGTGTTTAGTCCTATAGCCATTTGCGCCACCCATTTCGTATATGCTTTACCAGGATCACCAATTTCCCACTCCACAGGACCAAACTCATTTTCAATCTATATCAAAGAATCCACAACATTTATTTACTTTTTTTTTTTTTTTTTTTTTTTTTTTTTGCAAAAAAAGAAGTGTTAGGCCATGAGCTAGTATATCTTCCAACCTGACTCATGATAATTGGTCCACCCTGAGGCTCAAACAGATTTTCTGACTTCAGCAGATCCACGATTAATTCAACAAAGCCTTGCATAGCCACCTTGATATCATAACCAGACAGAAACATGTAAGAAACACACTCAAGCAGTTACAGTTTGGTATAGGTGATGAACAAATTAAATGTAAAGAAGCCAACCTTAAAAGGTTGATTATCTGTTCTAAATTCCATTCCTGGAATGTATTTTAGCCAGACAGGGAATCCCCTGCACCACAAAGGCAACAAGTCATATTGATCACCACTTTATAAACAAAACAATCATTAAATCACAAACTGTGTTAATATGTTCATATTGATCAATACCCAAAGTTCCATTCTGCACAAATGTAGGGGCCAATCCGGAGATGAACAAAGAGGCCTGCTTGTTGCACCAGTTTAATGAACTTTACCAAATCATATCTCCCCTCAAAATTATACTGAAAAATACACAAATTTTCTTTAGTATTAAAAAAGGGATGCCATGAATCACGATAATAAAAACACATGGTGGAGACAGCCAAAGTCAAGTTAGCCAGGTTGTTGACTTGAGGTTACAATTAAGTTCAACTCCAACATGGGCAGTCTATTGGCATTTCTTGATTTGAGCCGGTCAAGATATTTTGACAACCTAAACTAGTTTACCTCTTTATGATCCTTTACTCACAAGACAGGATTTACCTAATAAACACCAGGTAGCGGTTTCCCTCATCACCCCCAAAAAAACACACACACATGGTGTACAGTATCCATCCGTGACCCCGTGAGTGTGCAGTGAAAAAAAAAACATTAATAATAATAACAAGAATAATAATTACCTTTCCAGGAGAGGGTTCATGTCCATTCCAAAAAACGTAAGTCTGTATAACATCCAACCCTCCATCTTTAGCCTTCTGTAAAAGATCAGGCCACATCTGCAACCAATACACACCCAAAAAACAAAAAGAACAAGTATTTATGGTGAAAAAAAAGTTTAGAAAACAGAAATACAACATAATGTAAAGTACCCATGTATAAATTTGTATACAAACATAACTATAAGAAAAAGAACAAAAAAAGGTACATTAAACAAAAATTACTGTAAACCAAGAAATACCCATTCCCCAGAAATGCATGAGACTATGGGGAAAAATGTATTACCCAGAAATTCATTATTTCAGTCAAGAGTTACACTCTTCTTGCACTCTACCGGAAAACGAATGATATTTCTTGAAAAGTTTGAAACTTTATTTAAAATAGACATTTATCAATTATGAGGAATTCAAAAATCCAAATTTGATTAAGCTGACTCTAAAATGGGGATGATTAAATGAAGTACCTCCGGGGAGCTTCTTGGATAGTGAATAGAGCCAGAGATGAGAATCCTCCTCACCCCATTGATGATGAAACCTTTGCCATCATAAGTAACTGTTGCCCTCACTGGACAATACACAAATAAGAACAGCACCACCATTGTTCCCATGGTCCCCAGCATATTCCTCATTCTATACATTGAAATGAACAAACAAAAATGGAATTTGTGCCACTCTTGTTTCCTAGGTATCTTTAATATGTTTTCTATGGGGAAAAATGGCAATTTTTAATAAGTTTTCTTGTCTTCTTCGTCTTCTCTTATCTATTCTTCTAAGAATGCACATGTCAATGGGTATGGAGTATATTGGTTGGTGTAGAAGTAGTATCAAAGTTGAGGTTTTGGTTTGCGTTCTTGATATAACTTATGGTGGAGGGAAAGGAACTCAGCTTCAACTGCTTTATAAAGGATTTGCATTTTGCCTACTCCACTCACCCACATATTCATGTGAATCTTTTATAAATCATTTTCTTAAATAAATAAATTTTTTTTAAAAAAAAAAGGTGGGGAGGAGCCAGGGAGAAATATCAGGGGTCAAAGACTCTAATAGGACAAAAATAACAAGAGTAAACAAAAATGACAGTTTTAAAAATTAGACAAAAATAGAAAAAAGTATTTTGACAAATGCCTTTCTTGTCAAATAATTTTATTTTGTTTTTATTTTTTTTCCCACAGACACGCAAGTGGGATTTGCGTGCCTCGTATTGTATACAAGATACGCACGTCCCACTTACCTATCTCGTATTTTTAAATTTTTGTGGTTGCTGGCTTCTCCTTCGTTGGAGAAGTCGGCGACCAAACTGGTCGCCTTCTCCAGTTTACCAGTTTGGTCGTCGTAGACCAAGTTAAAAAAAATAATATATATATATATATATATATATATATATACACGAGATACGCAAGTGGGACTTGCGTATCTCGTATACAATACGAGACACGCAAGTGCGTGTTTGTTTGACAACAAAAAAAAAAAAAAACAAAAATAAAATTATCTGACAAGAAACGCATTTGCCAAAGTACTTTTTCCTATTTTCGTCCAACTTTTAAAAGTGTCGTATTTTTGTCCTATTAGAGTCTTTGACCCGAACATTAGAGAGTAATGGGGCCATGGGGCTCAGGGCCTATTTTTATTGACAAGGTCTTGAACAAAAGGAGGACATATCGGCCCAAGAAAGAGATGATTGGCCACCGAGAGTCTCGTCGAACCGACTAAACCCGTACACATGAAAGGAGGGAGAACCAAAATGTCATAAGGAGGCCGGTGCAACCAGGGGTTAAACCTGTGACATTTTGCATAACAACATGCCCACTAACCAACCAATTCAAGCCACATCATCTCTCGTTTACAAAGGTGTGGCAGGTTAGATATATTTAGTCGAAGGACACTGGTAGCAAAGTAGTGGGGTGAAAGATAGGATACATGTATAGCTAAGGTGAAAGGCTAATGAAGACCGCACACTTGAAGAGGAATATTCGGACACTAAATAAAGGTTTCAGGTCTCCCTTTAGACATCATTCCTATGTTTAGTACATCCTAGCTAGATTAGTGGTGTCTTGTCCTAACTTTCTACACAAGGACCATGGTTTGGTTCCTAGCAACTAGATATATATGGTATTAATACTCCTAGTCCATTACTTAGGTTATAATAGTTATTATTTATTTATTCTTTGGGTCCCTAGTGTGAGTCCTTATCACGGTTCACGGGTATTATATATATTCTTTTGAGCCTAGCGTTCGAACAATAATATTATTATTTTTTTACTCATATTTTATACATTTATACCGTTTTAGGATAGATCCGGATCCTATAAAACCATCAAAGAGCATTACTGAGAAATCCAAAGTTGACTGCACAAGCATAGTTAAAACTAATCAAAATGAATCATGAGATTAATATATATATATATATATATATATATATATTAATAGTAAAACTTTTATAATTTTAGTCAGCAAAAATTTATAAATTATCAAATCAAATTGTCCAATTACTCAGCTGAGTTGTACATCTTTGTTGCTTGAATACTTGTTAGTTGTTACCAATCATTAGTGCTGCCGCGGATTGGCTCAAGGCGAAATAATGAAGCAAATGTGTTGCTTTTGCTTAGCTTGGGCATTTTATCACAGAATTCTTGCATGAAAAGAAAACATGGCCTTATTTCATGGCTATGGAAGGTATAAAGAAAATGCTCATAAGTTTAAAGCAAAATTCTATCAATTGGTATGACAACTCTTTATACCTAGTACCAACCCAAGCAAAAGGTAAATGCAATGGGTTTGTGTCGAGTAATTCTAGGTACAAACTCAAAACTTTAAGACTTTATACTAAATACAAAGAGGCATGATGCTGGTCGACATTATAGTCCTTAATTTAAATTCTAAATTAAAAATTTTGTACATACAAAATAAATATTTAGTTTGATTTTAAACCCTATTAATGCGAGGATTTAGTATAGTTAACATGAACTCATGAACAATTAGGTTAGAGTTTAATGTGAACAAGGTTGCACTCCTATATGGGAGAATGTGGATTCGAAGTTTAGTAGAGGCAGTATTGGTTCTTTGTGTTTCAGTAGGTTGAGAAACTAGTTATGAATAAATATTATATTGTAATAGAGTCAATAGCATTCAAAAAAAGGTTAGAGGTTAGAGTTTAATGTTAACAATAGTACATTAAAGTAAACAATGGAAAATGAGAAGAAGAAAAAAATGTATTCCTTATTTTCTTGGGCTACTGAAAGAAGCCCAACAGAGCATCCAGAGCAGCCCATCAGAGATTGGAATCGGCCCACATATGTTACTATGCAGACGTTATGCCATGGAACCGTGTTCATCATTCATGGTGAACACGGTTCCAACGGTGTTAGTACACCGTTATCTTTTTTTTTTTCTTAATTAATTGTGTGACTTTTTTTCTTTATTTTCACATTTTGCGGTTTCACTTTAATTTGAGGTGAACAAAGATTTCAGACATTCATAAATTATGAATTCATGCCTGCACATTTACTTTGGAACCATGCCTACACATTCCCGTCCGAAATTACGGACATTTATAAATTATGAATCTATGCCTGCACATTCACTTTGGAACCATGCCTACACATTCACTTTGGAACCATGAGATTATGAATTTTCAGTTATGAGATTATGAATTTTCAGTTATGAGATTATGAATTTTCTGTTATGCGATTATGAATTTTCTGTTATGAGATTATGAATTTTCATTACATTCATAATTTCGGACATTCATAAATTATGAATTCATGCCTGCACATTCACTTTGGAACCATGCCTACATATTCCCGTCCGAAATCACGGACATTCATAAATTATGAATCCATGCCTGCACATTCACTTTGGAACCATGCCTACACATTCACTTTGGAACCATGAGATTATGAATTTTCTGTTATGAGATTATGAATTTTCTGTTATGAGATTATGAATTTTCAGTTGTGAGATTATGAATTTTCTGTTATGAGATTATGAATTTTCATAAAATTCATAATCTCATAACAGAAAATTCATAATTTGATCAAACGCGCGCTGGTAACTTCACATCCGCGAAAATTTTTTTTTTTTTGCCTAAAAACGACGTCGTTTTGCCTTGTGTTCACCATTCTCGGTGAACACGATTCCATGGCATAATTTGCGGTTACTATGCAATCCGTTCAGTTCCGCCGTTTTCATGTCAGGAGTCTAAGACCCAAATTTCCAAAATAGGAAGTTTCTCAATAGCATAATAATAAAATCATTATTCTATGGAATATACTTCGCACAACTGTATAAACTATGAATAAAATGTACATTTATAATATATTAAAAATATATTATTTATATATTGAATTTAAATTATTTAAAAATAAATTATTTAAGTACTGAAGATACATTATTTTATATATTATCAAATAATATACATTCAATATATAAATAATATATTTTTAATATATTGAAAATATATTTTTTATTCATGATTCACAGAAAAATTTGTACCTACCAATCGACCAATAAGTAAATTATTCTGTGTACTCGAATTTAAAATACACAATTTACATACTAAATGCTCACAATCTACATACTAAATGTTCACAATTTTGTAAAAAGTAAATTGTGTATGTAAATTATGAATATTTAATATGTAAATTATATATTTTGGACTCGAATCCACTTTACAAGGTGGATGTAGTCTATGGTATAACAAATTAACAACTCAACTAATACTACTCCAATAGTTATGCTGTGCAACCATGTGCACCATGCATGGTGCACACGGTTGCAAAACGACGTCGTTTTGACTACTCTATATCCACCAAGGACGCAAAGAGTAGTCCCACACTCAAATACTCAAATTGATGGCCTAGATCTCTTATTTTAAATTGAGAATATCATATTTGATTTTCGAACTTTAATATATATTTTTTGTTTGATCACAGATTTTTTTGATTAGTCTAATTACTTGATAAGTTTATTTGGTGAATTGAAATATTGAGTTTGACGAATTTATAGATTTGTGGATAAATATTGATTAGTTGTAGAAAACCATCATAGTACGTGATCCATTCACTCTATTAATGGACTAACAATACCATATATATCTTTCTTTTAAAAAAAATCCCAAAATGTAGCTTTGATGAATTCTAACTAATCAAACTGCCGTATACTATCTAAAATCTAAAATCTTTATAGGTGTGAATGCATGTTATGTATTTGGTTTATGCTCGTTTGTTGTGCTGGGAGGTTTGTACACTGCTCATAAAAAGTTATACTATATATTTTCTTGAACAAATATATCATCAATGTTATAACTTCTATTATATCTTCAATTATTGTTGATTATGTTAGAAATTTTGAATTAAAATTGTGAAGTTTTGGAAGAAAGAATTTGGGAGAAAAAGTGTCTTGTATCTGTATATTCTATCAACCTTACAAAGAGAAGAGGAAGAAGCTATATACATGAAGCTAGTAGTCTGTTAACAGAGGAAGAACAAACTAAACAAACTAACTGTGATGTTTAACTGACTTTGCTGACTTGGCTATTCTGATTCATCTCTTCTAATATCCCCCCGCAAGCTGGATCATACATATTATGGAGACCAAGCTTGGATATGAAGGCATTGAAGGTGACTGGAGTGTGTGGCTTAGTAAAGACATCAG